GCTCTATCTATCTATCTATCTATCTATCTATCTATCTATCTATCTATCTATCTATCTATCTATCTATCTATCTATCTGGACGAGACAAAATGACAGATAATATAATGGTCTGAGAAGTAACGCCGCCTGCAGGTAGATACGGCAGGAATAAACCTACTTGGTGATTAGAATGATAGTTATACTACTCCCTATGGACACAGTTGAGATAGTTTAGGCGGCGGGTGGCTTCGAGTCTGTCTGTCAGGGCGGACCCGCGGCTCACTTGGGATCGAATAGAACCTAAACAGTAAGATGAGAGAGAAAGAACTACCTCTGAACACTTAATTAAGTGGGGTAGAATATATAGCCGATCCATAACCTAAACAATAAGATGAGTAGGATAGAATGATAAATATTATACTAAACAGTAAGATAAGTGTCATAGAATAATAAATATGATACTAAACAGTAAGATAAGTGTCATAGAATAATAAATATGATACTAAACAGTAAGAGAAGTGTCATAGAATAATAAATATGATACTAAACAGTAAGATAAGTGTCATAGAATAATAAATATGATTCTAAACAGTAAGAGAAGTGTCATAGAATAATAAATATGATTCTAAACAGTAAGAGAAGTGTCATAGAATAATGGTATAACACTAAACAATAAGATAATGACTCTATCAAATCGTCTTCCGCGCCCGGGAGTAGAACGAACGCGCGTCACTTGTGTGTCTCGGCGAGCCATCTACCCACTACACCACAGACGCCGGTACCGCACACACAAGGGGTGTCCGTAAATTGTGACCGTGAGATGGGCGATGACAAACTGCTCTGGCTCGAATCCGATCAGTGGGTGGTTGGCGAGTGCTCTGATCCAGTTTGTTCCTTCTTTCATGTGTCAAACATCTATCGTCCTTATCTCCCCTCCTTCTTTCTTTGTATGTTTCTCTCTTGTAACAATTCCTAAGCTCATAATCTTCCGTGTTCATATATGACCTATTTGTGTTGTAAGTGCGGTAAAACTCTTCCTGAAACTAAACTGTGAGTCCGGTCCGCCGGTCAGTCTATCGCTGAAATAACCAGTTAGTTGATGAGTCAGTCTTTTCCCCCACCCCAACTAGGCCAGTCCACGTGGGAGCCGCCTCCGATACGCCGTTATATCGAGAGCACCCGGTAGCTGTAAAATGCGCATCAAGCTGCTCGGCGTGCCGAATCCGCCGCAGCTCAGAGCATCCCTCGGTTATTCACAGACATAACGTGGATCTCCCAAACCCCCAGCAAATTAGATCTATCTTTCTTATCTATATTCTTCTGGATCGGAAAAGAAAAATATCTAGATATCTATATTCAAACCGCAATGGTTTGTTTGTTTGTTTAATTAATGATTACTTGTTTAAATCTTCTCCTTTTGCTGTCTATCAAGTTTGTTTGGGTAAAGCACATGGACACAACAATGGTCATTTAGTGCTGGAAAAAAGTTGTAAGACAGACATTAACAAAAACAGAGGGAAAGTAAAGAAGTAGGACCCACCAGAGGCGCCCTCCAACCACCTGCGTTTGTTGTTTTTATGTAATTCAGATATGTCAATAAGGAAAAACGGAGTTAAAGGGAAGTTTTCCGTGGTAAAACAAATCGCACTACAATATCAACTGTTGCGTACAAACATGAACTGTCCTTCCGCCGTATACTTAAAGTTAATCTCGCTCGTTCGCCGTCCAAAAACGTCTGTATCAAATCATTGTAGTGAACAGGTCGTATTGTGACGTAGCGCTTTTCGCCTTCGTCTTCCTGGCACTATCAACACAACTGTCGTAGAGAGAGGGGGCCAAAAACACACACACACATTACTTCGCGTTAATTATTGTCAGCGGCGTGTCGGCGATAAAACGTGTGTCCTTTGGGAGCTTCCTACTGATAAACCGCGGAGTGAACAACTTTGGCTACATGCCGCGACATGCATTCAACGACTGAGATCTAGATCTATACCGTAAGTCTTTCTTAGCCTACTGCCGTGATCTTGTCAGTTACTGTCGCAATAGGTTCGATGTGGGCGCTAAATGCATACACTTACTTAGTTTATTATGAGTTAACTGTCGTAACATTGTCGATAGAGGCGCTAAAAGCATACACTTAACTTAGTTTATTATGAGTTAACTGTCCAAATAGCGTTGGTAGGTTAAACCCATACTCTTACTTAGTTTTTTATAAGTTAACTGTCCTAATAGTGTTGATAGGGGCGTTAAATCAATACACCTACTTAGTTTATAAGTTAAATGTCCTAATTGTGTTGATAGGGGCGTTAAACAAATACACCTACTTAGTTTATAAGTTAACTGTCCTGATACTGTTGATAGAGGCGTTAAATCCATACCCTTGCTTAAACTTTATAAGTTACCGCGGGAGGTTCGAGGGCGCCACTGGTATAGGTTTTACTTTTTTTCTTTCATTCGGTTATTCCCATCTTTCCGTCCATCGTACTGTTTCCCTCCTCCACCACACTAACTGACCCGTACTGCACCAATGTGCGTCTCTTTACTTTAACCCTAACCTGCTCAAGGGCTAGGCCTCCCAACTGCCGTAACTCTGTACTGTAGTGGGTTCACTCCAACTGTACGACGTGCTCGTTTAGCGAGCAGACGACACCGCTCTAGTAGTAGTATAGGGTTTTACGGCGCTCGCAACTGCGTAAGGTCATATGAGCTCTGTTGTCTGCTGTCGTCACAAACATCGAAGAAACACTGGCTAAGCTACGCCATCTTTTCTATAATCCAACTGTGTATATATTGCATGCAGCATTCTCTTCTCCTCTGTTTGGTGTTTAT